AATGGCTTCGACGCTACTCTTGTCATGCCCTCGCCCGACATGACGTTCATTTGTTTCGCAATCTGACAAACTGGACCTTAGAGTAACTTCGCTGTACTCGAGGGTGTAAAAAGTAGTGGTGTTAAACATAGGGCAGGGAGCGTCAGCTGACAACGAAACGTTGGGTTGTCGTCAAAACACCCAATGATGATGGTGAAATTAATTAGAATAAAATATGCATTTTTTCGAATTTTGAAAATGTATTATTAACTTAAGGGAAATTATATAATCTTCAAAATTTGAGAGTTATCATGTTGAAATATGTCGACAACGGAGCATCCATTTTGGAAAAAGTATTCCTTTTTGCAGGTTGAAAACTATTGTTCATAGAAGGGGGAGAGGATTTTGGAAATTACGGTGAAAGTGATCTTAAAACCGGGCGCGCAGCGATGGTGTAACGGTTATCGTATCGGACTGTTATACCCAAGTTGGCGGATTCACCCCCCCCCCCTCCCCGGCGGATCGAAGGCGTGGATTTTTAACGACGAAAAACTCCTCCGTACGCCTTCCTTCTGAGGGGAAGCAAAGCCGGCTGTTAGTAGATTTACTTGCATGTAAAAGTCCCTCAAGCCTAAATGACGCCTCTGATCTAAATTCAAATCGCCTGTTTCTCGCCTAAGAAATACCTCCTTTCTCTGCTAGTTGGTGAAAGGAGCGTAGCGAAATTTGCGTGGTCAAACGGAAGAGCAGACCTCGTGGCCTGAGTCTCGCCTCGTAAAATAAGGCATTAATTCAATTCAAAACCTGTGACATCAGTCCTGAGATAGACTTCCAGGCCGAAAAATATACTTCCTTTAACATTTTAAGTTCAATCCGATTATGCGATTAAAGAACTAACTCAACTTCCAAAAGTACACATCGCTGGTCATTCTAATTCCTTATGAATTGCGAAAGAAAATAATGAAAAAAATAATCACGTAGGACTCGAGAATAGTGCATTTCAGATTCTATTCTGGCCACTAATACACAAGAAATGTAAATACGTGATAAATTCTAGTTTTTTTTTGTAGGAAGTTTAAAAAGGCGAATCAGAAAATGCCCTTAGTACATTCTGAAGTACTTCATAGTCCTTTGGAAGTTTTTGGCTTGGATTTGTTTTATTTCAAACAAACTTAATGGCTTCTAATTGTAGGCTATTTAGGGAATGGAAATGTGGAAATACTACTACTATGTGGAAATTTCAGAATTAGACAATATCTTAGACAACGCAATTACCTCAAAACTAAAATTTGGAATTCTACAGAAGGTATATTTAGACAATGGGAACATATTTTGATTATTTAAGCATGAAGTTTACAGAATTGTGGGACTTGAAACCAGAACTCCCAAGTCTCAATTATCAACAACTCAATGGAATGGAAGAGCGACGTATTGCCACAAGTTCAACTACTAGGACTTCTTGACTACAGAAAGAGTTCCAATAAAATATGTCAATAGATTGATGTTTGGCCATAACACTCTTCGAATAATAACTCTATATGGTGATGGTTTACCCCTTTGTCGAAATTCAACTTGAGATGTTTACCATGGAGTCTGTGTGTTCGTTCCCCAGATGATTCAATCTTTACTCAAATAATGTTTTTTACACTGCCCCGCGCTTCCTTTCTGTTGCGTAGAAGCTATTCGGCTTCACGCTCTGGTTGGCATGGCATTGATTATTTGATGTGTATCCTTAATTACTAATAACTAGCAAAATGTGGCGTCGCCGACGCTGTAAAACTGTTTTTAAAATGCTTTCACGTGTTGAAAATTTCTTTCATACTTCATTTCGTTCATGCCCAGCTTTGTTTAAATATGTTCTTTCAGTATCTCGAACTGTACTCACCAATGAATCGTAGTAGCTGATAATGTTATAATCCTGTTCAAATGTTCCCAACACCCAATGGGCTTTTGCGTTACTTCCATACGTGATATGAACTGGTCTTATTGCAATTTAAAAATTATCATCGTAACAAATACGTGCAGGTTTTGATGCTTATAGTTAAATTTTAGTACAGCTACATTTTTACGCTTGTTAGGAAATATGCACTAGCACATTTGCATTAGCACAAATACTAAATGTAAAAATACAGATCATTCCTAATTAGTTGCGAAAAGTCTATCGCAACATATTTTACTGCAACATTAGATTCTTCCCCGGATTTCCTTAAAACTTCCACATTTCCCCCCTAATTTTTGAAGCGATTAAAACTTCACACATTCAGTCAAATTTGTGTTCACTTCTACAATTGCTCTATTAATCGTTTTGCATACGAATCTAGCGTTGCATGAGAATCTAACATTAAAAGACGACTGTTTTGTATGTGGATGTGTATAAGGTGTTCGTTAATTTGAATACATTGTGGGTTACATGCATTTGAAAACTATTCGCATACTTATGTAAGAACGTAAAAGTAGGAAGTCGAACTTAACGTTCATTCATACTCTAGCATTACTCACTGTTTTGTTTTCTCCATATTCACTTCAAATTCTTCAAGTTCAATAAGTTACGAGGCAATACTTTTCGTAGATATTCGCAAATTAATTTTTTTTAAATATGATAATAATTCGACTCTAAATAGAAATCAAACTGCAACGCGATTTACTTGGTAATTCAAATGTTCACTAAAGATATCAACATTAGTTATGCCAACGTCGTGAAAAAAAATTATGGCGTAATAAGCAATAAATAATAGTTGGATTCTGGTATTTAATCAACGCCACCTAGATAAATCGATTTAGGAGGCGTTTGTTTAATTCGTGGCGTTATTACTAAGACCGCAGCGCCAAAACACGAGAAAACGCGTTTTTGCAGACATCTTCAATTATTTTAGCGGGATTCGAAACAAATTATCAGTTCCCCATCAGGAGACAGAGACGCGTCGAATACGTCTCGATTATTGCAGGGGAAGTAGTTTTAACGCCAGTGATGGAATGGCAAGGACACATCTACACGTCCGCACACTCAAGAGCTTTACTTAAATACTGTCTAGTGATGATGCATGCAAGGTACTATTGGCTACTGGATTTTTGAAGGTTGTAATGTAAGAAGACAGATTTTTGTTGACAAATATGCCATTTACTAAGTTGAAAGAATGTCTAATACAAACAGACAAAACATTCACAATGCACTCATTTGAGAATGAATGTTTCGACTATTGCGAATTTTACTCTTAAATTACTAATCTTCCCACTCTTCTCTCTTGATTATTCTCTTTAATAAATTGTTTGGTTAACACCTACCATTTTGCTGGATCTTCCTTTTCACCGACCATTGAAGCGAGCCGGCCTCTGAATGGGTCGTTGTCAATGGTTTCCATCGCGCTTGCATCATCAGCTGGAATCCGGGGTCATTCGCCTCCACACAGCCGCCCACTCGTCTTAGTGTTTTCAGCGCCATACAGCCGTTATTTATACGCCGGTCTGGTCGGGCCCGTCAATTCCGATCGTGGTCACAGTCATCCGGGAAACAATTCACTGGAATATGAATTATTCAATGCGCGTGTAATCGATGCATATTTGGCCGAAACGCATAGCTGCTGTTATGAGTGTCCTTTGGTGGTCAGCGATACTGCATGACGTTCCGATAAACCATGCGCAGTGCCAGACCACACATAAGTCAGATAAGTCAAAGGCGGTTTAGGCGATCATTGTGCCTCGACCTCACAAACTAAGTTCTATGGCAGAAGCGTTATGTCTCACTCCTCACAAGTTGGTGCACTACGCGAGCATTCGCGCAAACTACTATGAGCTACGCAAAAACTCGTTTTTTCTCGATCCCCGTAGGCATCTGCTCGCCACCTCGGCGGAAAATTTTATACTTTGTCCGTGAGCGTCCGCTCGTTACTCAAGTCAGAACCCTTTTCTCCTAATCCCACGCACGCTCTCCATGAAGTCTATTCTCCCCATTCCCAGTAGAAACAGCGGATCCCCGCCTCCTTTCGCTAATGGCAATCATAGTTTGTATGAGTCTGGCCAGCGGTCAGGTTCATTGGCTGTGTTAAAATGAAGTCAGCCTGCTTCTTGGTTCGGAGGCGCCCGCGGTTTTTTATTCAGGCACGTGGACGTATCTAACTTGCCCTCTGCATGGTTAAACTTAGTCTACCCTATTGTTTCCTTAAGAGCTTAGTTGCAGGCCCTCGCTAAGTCTTTCCCCCCAATTTACGTGAAGAGCATGACGGCGCGCGCCGCTGCACCTCCCGCGTCGCGTCTCTGTACGTTTGTCAACACATTAATGGAAGCCGTTTTCCCTTTCAGCTATTGTTTCCTGGTAATTGTCGCCTCGTGAGCGTGGTTCAACAGTTGCCCGCATCCCTAGCTGCCCCATTCATAAATATGTCCTGGCTGTCTCCGACGCGCACTCGCCTCAGCTCCCTCAATTCGAAGGGGTCTGTTTTGTGACGAACATATTCCTCTCTGCACGTGCGACCTACGAAGCTCTTTGTTTCGAGTTATTTGTATTGCAATAATCGTAAGATGTGTGATACATCACAATATTGATAGAAAGTAAATGTAGATTAGAATGTTAAAATCGATCAAAAGTTAATTGATAGAAAAGATAAAGCCACTTGAGCCAGGTGGAGTTGAAAAAGCGGGTGAGAAGCCACCTTTTTACGAAATTCAAATCAGAAGTTAGAAAGAGAATGTTTTGTAAGAATTTGCCTAACAGTCTCATAACACGTATTGTAAACAAGGGCTAGATCCCATGTAAAATTAATTTTGATCTGATCATTTCACAAAATGTTAATAATATTAAACAATACCGAAAATTCAGAGAGCAAGTGGTTAGTGTAGCAGTATATACAAAAATGTACAAGATGTACACTAAATTTAAAAAAAAATTGCTGTTCTGTTGCTGTAATAGTGTATTCCTTGAAGAGAAATTCCAGGCGTAACATTTCTGCCATTTCAATAAAAACGTTACTTCTACTTGACAGATTAAGCGGATGAACTACTAACGTTTTTTAATGCAATTTTTACAGTGGAAAGTAAGGAGGACTGTAGCAGCAAGTATCCACGAACTTGCTGTGATATTGGGCGAAGAATTGGCTGGTGTTGATTTGGTCCCCATATTTCATGGTTTTATTAAAGATTTAGATGAAGTACGCATTGGAGCTTTGAAGCATTTGGCTGAATTTTTGAAGGTGAGTGGTACTTAGTGCCTGAACTTTTATCTCTCATTTGCATGGGTCATGGTCTAATATTGTAATTTTCTGTTTGATTTCGTTACAAGTAGAGCTGCAATAAATATGTAAGATGAGTTAGCAATACATACACTACTCCAGTGGTCTGGAGCATCTAATGTACTACTTGGGAATATGTAGGATGAACTGCTGGGTTGGTGCTTGCGATACCCTTCAAGAGTGGTCCTAACTTTTCTATTAAGCTCCTGCAGTGCAGTTATCCATGGAAGAACACCAAATGTATAGACAGCGAAGGGTACTGCCCAAGTGTTATCTAATTCGAGGTTCTTTCCATTTAAAAGTGTTTTGCCGATTTTTGAGACTCTTTACAAGACTATTTTTAATACCACACCTCATCTTTGCTTCACTTGTGTTCAAAAGTTGGTGCAGGCCTAAATATGTATAGGTATCCTCCTGCCCAAGATCTTGGATATTTGTGCCACACATCAGGATGAATTTGTCAGGGTCAAGGATTTCACCTTTTCACGTGCACTACAGTGCATTTATCATGCCAAACTCCATACAAATAGAGTCGCTGAAAGACATTACAAGTTCAAGTAACGAGGAAAGCTAGTTCTTATCTCTGGCGTCCAACTTGGGATCGTCCATATAAAATTGATGATTAATGAGGATATGGTGATTTTCGGTGATTTCATATCCCATCCTGAATCTCTTAACATTTATAAGCCTATCTCCCTGAAAAATTCCTTGTTTGATCTACAGTTTCTTGGTGTTATAGCTGGCTAATGAGGCTTTTATCTTTGTACGCCAAGTTTGCGCGCAGCAATGGTGGAACGGTTCGCGTACCGGACTGTTGTACCCAAGTTGGCGGGTTCAAACCCGATGGACAAAGCCGTGGACTTTTAAGGGCGAAAAAATCCTTCGTACGCCTTCCTTCGGAGGGGAAGTAAAGTAATGTTAGTAGATTTACTTGCATGCAAAAGATCCTCAAGCCTAAATGACACCTGTTTCTCGCCCAAGAAATACCTCCTTTCTCAACTAGTTGGTGAAAGGACCGTAGCGAAATTTGCGTGGTCAGACGGAAGAGCAAGCCTCATGACCTGTGTCTTGCCACGTAAAATAATGCATTAATTCAATTCATTTAAGTTGTCATGCAATGTTGGATTAAGTTCACATACTGGGAATTTACTTTGTAGAGGCGAAGCCACGAATAAGGTATCGAGTCGAAGGCCTTGGTTTAGTCAATACATCCTACAGAAATGTTGCGGTGTCGTTTTTTGAGTTCATTGACTACTACACTGTTCACTACTACACATTGTCTGCTATCAATAATTATTTCCAAGCGTGAGCACCCTTCCTGCAACCATTTTGCTCTGGTGTCAGAAGATAGTTGGCCTTTAGATAGGTATTCAGCGTACTGGCTAGCACAAATTAAAAAAAAAATCTTATGTACTGTGGGAAGAAAGGTCGATAGTTACTCGGAGTCTGAGGATCGCTATTCTTGCTTATCATAAATGTAACTCCTTCAGTGAAAGACACCGTAATGAAAGTTGGATCGTTGAGTGCAACTTGAAACCACCTGGCCAGAACCGCATGAGTACACGGAAAATAAATCCACTACAAGTTATGTATCACATCAGTACCTGGCACTTTCCAATTCTGTGTCGTCCTGACTGAAGACATATCTGTATGATTTTAAGCGGGCACATCTGATGTATATCACAAAACTTCCCTTCCTTTTTTGCTATCCATTAAGCTCCATAATCATGGGTCTTGGGGATGCTCCATATATTACACCAATATGCTTTCATCTCGGAGCTTTTAAGTACTGATTCAGGCAACTTTCTTTGATCGTTGTGTTGCCAGAAATATTTCTTCTGGTCACATTAATATACAAAGCATTATGTTTTCTTCGTTTCCTGGCTGGGCGTTCTACATCTTTTACGGCAACCAAGGGCTGTGACGCGTTGTTTTAGATACTAAAGTCGGTATCGGAACCTCTATCTCGAAATTCGGCTGGGTTCTTCGAGTTCTCACCTTTCGTTCAATCGTCTTCACTGCACTGGAGACCTTTCTGGTTGGATTCTCAGGAGCTCTAAAAAAAGGCCTATGTCCCGCTGGAAGCTTTCATCTAGCTATATAGCGGTTTTTACAGCCTTGGCCGTTTTCTGCATTACAATTTCCGTGCCCCCTTATCCCATATATCGTTTTCCTCCATTTTTTTTCATGGCTTCAGTTATTGCCCTGATCCACGTTCTTCTCGGTCTTCCCCTGTATCTTCTTCGATTTGGTATCCACTCCCAAACTTTTTGTGGATGTCTATCCGATTTCAACCTTCTCATATGTCCATACAATTTTAGTTGTTTCATTTCGATCGTCTCGTTGTTTGCACTTTCATTTTATTTCTTATTTCATCATTTCTGTTGATTGAAGTTTGTCTTTCAATTTTTTTGTTTGTGTCCAGACTTCTGCCCCATAGTCTGGTACTGTCTATGAAGCAACTATATATGCGTTTCTTTGTCTTCATTGAAATAATTTAGTTCCATAGCACTGGATTCAACTGTCTTGTGGCTAGTTTTTCTCTTATATTTTTATTTTTCACATCATGTTCGTCTGTACCATCTGCTGTTAGTGTGACTCCCAATTACTTATATTGTGTGTTACCTTTAATTATTCCTATGCCAGTCTCCAAATCATGGGGCATACCTTGGGGCCCTTACCGGTGAGTGGGGAATGCAGCTATTATCCTGGTCTCCTACTTAGAAAAGAGTGGCTGACCGCTGACTATAACTGTAAAATATCCTTCTTACCTGAAATCCATTCCTGAACCTCGGGAGCCAGTGGGTGGATTGAGTAGCTCGGAGGCTTCCGGTTTCTAACCTTAGATGAATCCTTCCCATTTCCTTTTCCTGTTCAGAAGCAGAAGTGCTTCAAATAGGGGTAGATTGAACTCCGGAGTCGTGGAAGGCACTCGATCTAAGGGAAGAAAACTCTAAAAGAAAATTACCCGGTCCTCCTGGAAGGGGGTTGAGACATGGGGCCAGCACCCCATACTCGGAAAATACAAAAAGGCCGCTGAAACTCTCAATGGAAGCTTTCAATCTTGCATTTAATACGCATAGGGACTTGGTCGGCTTAGCGGACTGTAGTGTGTTTCGATGTTTTCACTTTATCCTTCACAGATTTACCAAGAGTCTACAAGAGCAAGGGCTGTGCAAGACATATAGCTTACCACTTCCTCAACCGCTGTAGATTGTTCTACATCCACCGAGTTATTGACAGCTTCCATCACCGCATGCGAGAATTTTTTGACAAATTGCTAAAGCATATTTAGATTTCATCCAATGATAAATCCTTTTATAAGATATTTATCCCACTTCATATCCGATTCCCACATCCTTATCCTACCTAAATATTGTAATTATTCATGTGTCGGAATATTCAATAATCCTGGATGGGATGATGCTTGAAATCCTTGGAAATCTCAAACGACTTGTTGCGTGCGGCGTCTTCGATGTGGTTTTATACTTGGGCCATATCCCAGTCTTGGGACCCATGGTCTGGAGGATAATGGAATACATGATAGTGATCATGGCCATGAACGCGTTCAAGGCTTCATTACGCGCAGTCCAAGACAATTGCTCAGGCACTGGGAGTCTGGATTCATCAGAATTCGTCTCCACAGACCATTCCTGATTAGCTTGTGTGTCTTAATTATTTCCGGATAACGGTGTGTTCGGATGCAACTTGAACCATTCTTCTTAAAATCGTATCCTGTATCCCTCCATCTCCGCTTCAACTCTGGTAGAAAAAAGTACAATGCATAATGGAGATATTAACTACTTAGTCCATTTAATGCGCTGGAGTTTGTTCTGCGGTCGGGAGGGGTGAGCTGTCGTCTCACCCAAGCTGCGACCCCCAAAATTTGTTTGTCTTCTGGTAGGTCTGTGTGGTGTATCTCCACAGCTTCCCGGATTATTATTATTATTATTATTATTATTATTATTATTATTATTATTATTATTATTATGCTCGCGAATCGGCGGACAAGGACCACGCATGCATGCATCCTGTATTTACCGTGGCTCAGTATCATCGCGGTGGCAGGTGCATGTAACTTGAATTGGGGACCAGCATTTTGCAGAGTCCGATTTTTCTTCCCCAGGTTTGTTAGCCCTTGGGGTATGGAAGATGAAATGATAGTGAGGCGTGAAAGGACGACACACTCGTACAGACGTACACAAATACACCCATTCGCTGTGGGTCTGGGTCTCGAATCCGCGATCTTCTGGTCCAAAACCACTACGCCACTACTGCCTTAGCTCATCTGATCGGCATTATTATTATTATTATTGTTGTTATTATTACTGTTATTCGCATATGGACCACTACTGACCAGGCAACACCTTTCTCTCTCCGAGGCCCAGTTGTATTCTATCCTGGAGAGATCAATGTGTGGAATTATGGGGATCAGCCGTTCGCCTGCTTCCCGTGAATGTCAATTAGGGAGTGTTAGGCTTGAATATCAATTAGGGTGATATGATATTATTATTGTAATTATTACTATCATGACTTATAGGGTAATGAGAGGGGTGAAAGGACGGATGATGGTAGTGTGACGTAGTGAAATAAGAAATAAATTTCAATAACAAAAGAAAAATAATATATTAAAGAT